CTAACGCCTGCTCAACTGGGCCGCCTTACTTGCTAGACGTCCTCTGACGGAGGCCACTCAGTTGTTCTTAGTCGGGGCGGCGGGCATTGCTAATGCCCATGGATAATTCTGCTCCCCTTTATTACAGTTTACTCATTGGAGGTATATACATTCAATTCAACTCATTTCGCGAGGTGAAACGCGTAAAAAGCACGAGTGACGCAATTTTCGTGATGCAAAACCTCGACGCACAAAACGTGCGCTACCGTCCCAAATTCAGACACCGCGTTGATAAAATTCCTTTTTCCTTCCAAGAGTTTTTCCTCTGCGTTTTTGTTGTTTTCTTTTTGTATTCTTTTTTTTGCACTGGATGATATCAACTACTGCGAGATGTGATAGAGAGATTTGTGAGCTAGGGGTTGCACAGAGACCGCAGGGAGGTGTGAGGGAGCGATTTTGTTTATGTTGTTCTGGAGGACGCTTCTTGCCTGTTTTCTTCTTTGGGAGATTACTTATCAGCTACTGTTTCATAATTGCGAGCAGCTGTCTTTAAAGTGAAACAGCAGAAACGCTGAGAACGTTCCGGACAACCTAATACTAAAGGCGGTGATTGCCATCTCCACGGCGTGCCTGATATCTCGTCCATATCACTTAAAATAGTGATAGAGGCGCTTGATCAACCTCAATAAACAACAGTTCACTGGAAAAGTTCACTGATAAAGTTACTATCACTACCATTCGCATCAGGTAACCTTTTCTGACAAGTAGCAGAGTAATAAAGGGGTGTGCAATAAAGTACTGGGCGAAACAAATCGTATGAGCTTGAAAAACAACGGGAGTGCCGAATCGAGTCATCAGGCTGCGCGCGGTAACTCATACATGTGAATACGGCGTATATATGGTACGCCCTGGACGGGTGCCCCGAGTGCGAAAGAAAAGCCAGACGGCAGAAGGTGTTATTTACTGTTGACAGCTGCGGCCAGTTAACAACCACCTCCCGTTCAAAGAGTCACAGGTCCTGTACTTCAACGCTCTTGCTTTTTGACTAAGTCAACAGCGAAGATTTATCACTTTTTTAGATATCTACTGCTCATTCAACATAGGAACAATATTTCTTACACGCGTCTCAACAATTAAAAGATCTTTCTTGCTCTAGCACAATCAAAAAATCAAAACTAAAAAGGAGATAGTGCAGTGTACTCCACCGATCAATTCAACAAGCTGTTCGAATTCACAGTATAATACCCCTGTAGTCTTGTTGTGCATCCTCACCTCCATCAGATCCTTTGTAACTTTGTCGGCTGATATGGAGCGCTAATCCTGTATGATTTATGAACTTTTCGTTGCATATGGGACAAACTACCCAGCGGTAGTTTGTGGCTCTCAACGCCGCTTCTTCGGCAATTTGACGCTTGATGTCATCGACTTCTTCCTTGGGAAATCCGTGGACATTTCGCAGAATTGCGATGTAACAAACTCTTCCTTAACAACACTCTCGTACATAGCTTGCATCGCCAAATTTCGTCACCGCCTCGAGCCTTCTTCTTAAAACGAACTATAAGGCGAATCAGTCAAAATGAAAAAGAAGAAAAACGCAAAAAAAGGGAAAGGGTCCGCTGGATCTTGAGCATCTCGTCCCGCGTAGGTTATGAAACAAAAGAGGAGGAAGCGACACCACGATTTCGCATCCAAAAATGCCAAGGCGGTGCCGACCTCCGGAACCAAAACTAGTAGTGATGTCCACTCGAAAAACTAATTGGGGTCTGGTGAATTTTCGAGAAGATTCTTTTCTAATTTAGCCCTACCGGTGAAGCTGACTGAATGTTTACAAGTGATATTTCAGCGAACTATCACTTTATTGCCTAAGTGTCCTAAGGAGCTTCAGTTCCGCGAGTGTCCCCACGCGGTCGCAATCGAGAGTGAATGATTCCGCTACGATGAACAAACTACTATTCACTTGCTTAGCAGCTGGAAGGAAGCAGGCTGAAGCGGAAGCTGCATCGTCAATTGGAGCTGGTGGGGAAAAGAAAGGGCGGTATAGCGTCCATCTTCTACTACATCCCCCTGATCTATAACTAAGGAGTTCTCAATCCGTAGGCACTAGTTCAGTCAAAAGGAGGAGTAGGATGATCGAAGAGCAACTAACACATCTTTCTTACACGCCCGGTAGAGAGTTCGTCATCTCCACTTCTTTCCATAGTAAACTTCACGACTCTTTGTTTTGCGAGAGCAATTTCGAACCAGCACTCGCGCTGTCAATACCGTCTAATTTCCACTTGCCCTTCTACATGTCTTCACTCAATCAGGCAGTTCACCAACCAAATCACGCCAGACACCACCGCGAACCCTGCCCCGACGGTCACGCCTACTTGTCAGCGCGGACATAGATTTTCAACACATGACTGACTCCGCCCATTCTTTAAAGTTTGTTGCGAACTTCAAATCTTCATAACTTTTTCAATTTTTAATTTCACATCACCTTCGCACAACGAAGGTACTCGTAGACGCGCATTCATGCACCGGCAATTTAGGCTCCGCCCCTTTGGCCACGCCCACTTGCTTTTTGCGGAATTTGATATTTTTTCAAAATTTTTGCATTTTTGGACTGCCCCGTGAAGCCCCGCCCACTGTGAGAGGCTCCGCCCACTTCGAAGAAGCCCCGCCCACTTTTCAAAAATGGTGCAAATCGGCAGTATAGAGCCTTGGCTTGCATGCTAGGGTCTCGTCCGTCACTCGGAACAAATAAATCAGGCAAAGTTTGTTCCTAATGACCAGCAATACCCTTGCCATGCAAGCCATGGCTCTATACTGCCGATTTGCACCATTTTTTTTGGGCGGGGCTTCTTCAAAGTGGGCGGAGCCTCTCACAGTGGGCGGGGCTTCATGGAGCAGTCCAAAAATGCAAAAATTTTGAAAAAATATCATAATTCCGCAACAGCAAGTGGGTGCCAAAGGGGCGGAGCCTAAATTGCCGGTGCATGAATGCGCGTCTACGAGTACCTTCGTTGTGCGAAGAGTGGATGTGAAATTAAAAATTGAAAAAGTTATGAAGATTTGAAGTTCGCAACAAACTTTAAAGAATGGGCGGAGTCAGTCATGTGTTGAAAATCTATGTCCGCGCTGACAAGTAGGCGTGACCGTCGGGGCAGGGTTCGCGGTGGTGTCTGGCGTGATTTGGTTGGTGAACTGCCTGGTCTAAGAAGAGTGGTGAATTTGGTTTGAAAAGTGAATTTGCTTTGAAAAGTGGTGAATTTGGTTTGAAAAGTGGTGAATTTAAAGTGAAAATGGTATAAGTTTCAAAGGGCTATCAACTACCGCACAAGTATTATTGCGTGCCTATAGACCTATGTTAGACCCTTAGTAGAAGCTAGCACTACGGTATTCAGCCCTACGAAAAAGAAGCACATTTACGCACTTGAGAGGGTACAAAATAGCTTCACTCATAAACTAATGATTAGAACTAGTAACTTTGTCTACTCAGAAATGCCGAATGCCCCAAACAGGAATAAACTCCTACGGTTATCATCTCTGGAGTCCAGACGGAATGTTTTCGATCTTTGTCTAGTTCACAAGCTTATTACAAGATCGCGTGGGTCCAACGGACTCAGTTGTCCATCGATCTACCGTACTTATTCTCACAAGGGAGGTCGTTCAGGGCGTGGTGAGCTTTTTCAAAATGGTCTTGTGCATATTGTAGGGGCACATACGAGGACCAGAAAACTGAGGTTCATTTTCGCTGCGCGCTTCTACGAATAAAAAAAAACGTAAAAAATAGGTCGATGGTTCGGATCCCACCGAGGACAAAATTTTGCTTTTCTACAATTTTTCATTTTTTGGATCCATGTTTGTCTAAATAATTGGTCCTAACAAAAACATTCACGATAAACTGAACAATCCTACTTTTATGGAGCAAAACTGCTTTTTCGTTCGAATTCGTTAGTA